CATATGTACACTGTCGGTCAATTTGTGATACATTATCGATTGGCGATACACTGTCGGTCAATTTTGATACAATATCGGTACCTTAAGTGATACATTATCGGTTGGTTACTACATTATCAGTTTTAACATCACTTACTTCCTGAATTATCATGACTCTAAGATTTTACCAACCTCACAGATAACAATATGCAGTACAAATGCTCTATGCTCTTTAGCAAATTGTTTTAGCTTTTTCAACTATGCCAACTTGCTGAGTTTTCTCTGCCATCACAAATATTTGTGCCACAGGATTTTTTGATGAGGTTAGGGATGCTTTTGGACCTTTATTGAAATCATAACTGACGACAAAAGTGGAGGCAGTGTGCAATCTACTGTTCTAACTTTTGAAATATTTTTTTCTTCTTGTAAGTTTTCCAGACTGGAATGGTTGGCTACCCTGAATCCTTGACTGACCCCTCTTACAAGTCACAAATTCTGGTCCTGACATATCCTCTGATTGGCAACTATGGTGTCCCACCTCATGAGCGAGATGAGCTAGGCCTACCCAAGTGGTTTGAGTCAGAAAAGATCCATGTCTCTGCTTTGGTTGTGGGAGAGTTATCAGAAAAGTACAGTCACTGGGCTGCCAAGAAGTCACTCAGTGACTGGCTGAAGGAATACAACATCCCAGGAATATCAGGTATTGTGAAAATCAGAATTCCTAAATGAATAGAAATTTGCAATATTTACAGTCTGATGGACAGAGTTGTAAGTCATGCCAAGAAAAGTACAAGTGCATGCTTTCTTTCGTATAAAAGAATTCATTCTGACAGTGTTAAGCAGGTTCATAAGATTTCAAAAAGAAAACTGCAAGAAAATTTGGCTGCAGAATGCGCTGACTGCTGTACATGTTTTTTTAAAAAAGAGGAAGTTAAGCAGTGCCAGTTGTATTCAATTTAAAACCACATTCATGCACACCAAAACGCACATGTAAATATGGTTGACACGCTTCAAAAGTAGTGCACGTTAAAAGACAAAACATCAACAACAGCCCAAATTTTGAAAAGAAAAAAGAGCAGTTTGACAAAAACAAGTTATTGGGCGGTATCATTGGTGATCTTTCTGCAGAAGTTTTTAAAGCTTAATTCTTGCTCTACGTGTTTAGCCATATTCTCTCCATAACTTTATGTCAGTTGGTACATTTTTTTAATGGCTCAGTTTTCTTTATAGGTCCTTCCAAGTTGCTTCAAATCACCTTATTCTCAAAAAACGTACCAAATTGTCTTTGTTGTTGAGGGAAGTTTTGATTTCAAGTCATCTCAGATATTAACTTTGACTTGAAACTTTAGCTGAGTCTGATTCCTTTTGATTTGCACTGTAGGCTATAAAAGAAAGAAAGTCTGCCTTATTATCTCCAACTGGCAAACGATGTCTGTATATCGTGTTATAAGCGTGCATGACGCATCTGGAGGGGCGGGCGATAAGCGTCATGCTGCGGCTGGAAATTTTGTGGAAACACGCTCGCTTGAGTACAAGCAGTACAACCTCAAATTAAATTCATAAACACGGAGAACACAAACATAGACATGAGATCAATTTTGTGAATGAACCTGCAGAAAAAGTTGTGACGGCAGAGTTGCATTCGATGTAATGGAATGTGCAACCCTTTTTTGGCAGAAACTGTACATTGACTGGTTGCCGCATTTCCATCATGCCTTCATTGGCAATAGTTCGACCTGGTGGGAACCAGTGTGGAGCACCATGCACATAATTTCACCACCAGGATTCACGAACACTTCATAAATAGGTCGCCAACAATGGTTTTTCAGGCAACGGATTCACGAAAACCTTTTGTTGTACCAGGAATTTCATACAACGTATTTTTTTCACGGATACTGCGGTATCCAAAAAAGCAATAGTGCCCAAGCCATATTTCTAAAACTCCTCCCCAAAACAAAATTCTTTAGGGCCATGCCATCAAATTACAGGTCATGAAACAAGAATCAATTATTTTAGGGGGGGGCTTAAGTCATACAGGTATACATGGAGCTAGTAACTTCTAAATGTTTGGAGATTTTTCCAAGTGTTAATTGCTGAGGGTTCCACCATGCAGTGCATGTGTGTCATGTATTTTTGGCCACTTCAAATTCATGTGGTGGAGTCTGTGAAAATAGTTTGGTTTTCTTTTTTTTTCTGTAAAGGTGTTGACACCAGAGCTCTGACTAAAAAGATCAGAGAGAGTGGCACCATGCTTGGAAAGGTAATGTAAAAACCTGTAGGTACATGTACAGTAGTACATGCACATGGATTGTTAGTGAAAGGTAAATCAGTGAACTGATTCTGTCATAGTCACATTTGTTTGCCTACCAGCAGCTGGTAAACTATAATTTGTCACCATTTCAAAGAGCAAAATAGTAATCCATCAAATTAAACAAGAATGGTACACTGTATGCTTGAAAAGGAAGGAATGCATAATTCATTGCAATGTGTAAGCCATGTTTTGAATGAAATAGAAGAAAGACACGGTCTTTTAATTTCTACCTTGAACTGAGACAGTGTTTGCCAGTGGGCCAAGCTTCATCAAACACAATGTGGCTGCATGTACTGTATGCTATGCACATGTACACTGTACAGGCATTGTTGTGGCGATGACGTCGTCCAATCAGCCTGGGAGCAAGAACAGCGAAATGAGGATTTTTTTATAT